AGCGTGTTGCTGCATCATTATTGTTCGGTTACGATCACTATTCAGGCAGAGAGCAGCAGGCTGATAATTTGTTTTTCCCACAGCTATTTAGATGTCGTTGTTGGTAACTTTTTTTTTTAAATTGTGAGTGTAAATATTCTCTAGTATATATACTGTAGATAAGAATTGTAGATAAATAATGCACATAAAATCAATTGTCGATGGAGAACGGCGTCAGTCATCTGATTAGTCCCATATTAACAGTACCGATATTTTGAATTCTCCTCTTCCGCGAATTGTTTTATTGACAGTGACTCATCTAATTCTTATATAATCACTTTAACATTTTAATCAAAATAGTTCGCCATATCGTAAAAGTGTGAATACCCACCCAATTCGTTGGCGATCCTCAGTGTGTTATGTTAATGAAACGTGTCATACTGTACAACGACGGAATGTGTATTACAAAATGCCAGTACGTATTTTTTAGATTTTGACGCACTCCGTTCTGTTGTGTGTGTCTGCTGTTGAAAACAATCTTCCTAATTTTGTGACTCGCTTTGATGACTGAGATGGACCATGTTGATTTATTAATAATATGTTGTTTGGGATGGAAAAAAGTAGAGTCAATTTCCCAAAAATGCTCCATCAGCAAATAGTTTAGTGTGCGCTATGGACAGTATGGCTATAGAATTTACTAACCACACAATCCACAATAATTAAGTCGCAAAACTTCAGCTGCATTTGTTGGATTAAGTCGCAAAAATTTATCTTCGTTTGGTGGCGCAATTTACTCTAGGTAGACGGAGACCGGTTTCGTTACCAGTTGGTACATTTCTTACAAACATTCAGCCAAAGGCCAGTGAAAGTTTTTATCGATGTTTGCCATTTTTATGTGAGCTACCGTAAAGTCATGGTTTGCCGGATTTGCGTTCAATTTAAATCTCCGAACTTCTGAAGCTGAGATATTCTATGAACGTATGTATCGCAGGCTACAATTTAAAAACGGGTGACCAAATAATGAATTAGGTGCTAAATTTTGATTTAATGCTGGGTAAGTTAAAAACAGACATTCTGTCGGAGTGGGACTCATTCAAAAATTTGAGGGGGTTCGCTAGAAAACAGGGTTGTTTGCTAGAAAAGGGGGTCCGCCCGAACCATAAAAACCCCCCCTGGCTACGGGCCTGATTAATTATCTCTGTTTTTCATTTTGTTATAGTTAAATCAATTTATTTTGAATTACTTTTTGTATATATTTATATTTATATTGTATTGTCATTGTATTTGTTTTTTATGATGGAGGAAGAGCAGTTTACTGTTTGGGCTTAATGCCTATTACTTACTCCTGGCAAGAATATTGTATGTATACTTTTTACTTTGCCGAATAAATATTATTATTAATATTATTATTATAAAATTGTCCTGTTCCCATTAAAATATAAATAAAAATAACATAACCTTCGACTTTAACCATGATGAATCTGCGTGTCCTAACACCAGCACCACCTGCCGGGAGTACAAATTGTTTGAGAGAAAAAAAAGTTAAATGTACTTTTCCTGGACATTTTCCCCCGTCACATTTCCCCCAGACTGTTCCCCCTAGAACAATTTCCCCTGGACATTCCCCACCCCCTTTTATAAAACACAAATTTAAATACAAGGAGTACATCAAGATTTATATCATCTCTTTTATTAAATCTTTATTAAATCAACTGCACAGATAACAACAATATTTAAATGGTAATATTCAAGTAACAACAAACAAATATGAGATATACATTAAGCCATTAAATTTACTTTATTTACATTTGCTCATTTTTAGTTACTATTTATTTTTGTTATTATCAAATAACAACAAACATGAAGTTTACTTTATTTGCATTTGCTCATTTTTAGTTACTACAGTATTTATTTTTGTTATCAAATTAATTCTAATATAATTCTAATATTGAAAACAGGGAGATATAATGATTAAACAAACTTACATATAAACAGCAATCTGTTACTTACATAGTAATAGTAGGTACTGTAATAAAAATGTTATAACTTTAGCATGGTAATATTTGACTGTCCATCAAAAAAATCTTCCACCTTTGTTTAATAATGGGATAGAAACAATAGAATTTAAAAGCCAGAACTACAATTGCTATTGAAATACTACTAGTGACTATGTAATACTATACAGGAATACAATTCATGGTAATACCCTATAATACAGTAATATACTGCAGTAAAATAATAATTTTGTATGTTTGAAAAGTGTGTAAAATATGACGAAATAAGAACAATTAAGACTGAAATTGGCGAAATACGAACACTGAGCTTGGGCAAAAATTATTTCTTACTAATCAACCTTCAGTCTTGCTATCTTATTGTACTAATAACGTATGAATAACTACTTCCTTAAAACTAAGTAAGATAAAAAAAAAAAAAATGTATTATAAATTAAAATGTATAATTGAAAAAGAAAATAATAACTAAAAATTAGCAAATTCAAATAAAGTAAACTTTCATTCATTCATTCATTCATTCATAAAGGTATTTTATTCAAAAATAATTGTAATTGCAGTACTGTATTAAAGACTGAATTGTTACAATTTTACAAATTCAAAAAAAGAGACATTAAAAAAGGCAAGAGACAAACTTGGAACAGACATTAAAACCATCAGGCACTTAAAATTTAAAAAATATTTTTCAACAACAAATACGTAAACAGATGAGACATGCAAAATGGTGTATAAAACACCAACTAGCTATATTATTAATGACGATACATTACCTAAAATTGATAAAATCTAAAAAAAAAAAAAAAAAAAATCAAAAAAAAAAAAAAAAAAAAAAAAAAAAAAAAAATTGTTTTCCCCCCCTTCATTCCCCTTTCTTTCCCTTTCCTTCTTCTTAGGCCCTTCTCTCATTCCAAATTCTGGTCATATATTGCAATGGGCTATTAAAATATCTTTTGGTCCTATGGCTACGGAGAGACAGTTAATGTATGTAATTCATATTGTTTTTTTTATTTTTGTTTTTGTTACTGAAGTATTACCATGGACCTATTAATAAGTCCATGGTATTACCATTTAAATATTGTTGTTACTTGCACAGTTGATTTAATAAAGATTTAATAAAGTTACATAAAGATTTAGTAAAGTTACTTGTGCAGTTGAGAGGATATAAATTATATATTTGTGTATTTAAATTCATGGTGTGTTTCAGTATTTTCTTGCTCTGTTGTTTTCCCTGTACCTGTTTAAGTGGTGTTTTGTTCTCTCCTTTTATTGATTTATTGAATTTTGTATTTAAAAAATTTGTAAACATTTTTCTTGGTGTTTTCTCAATTGTTCTGGTTTTTGTAATGAATTTTTTATGTTAATAAAATTGTTATGTTTTACTATTTTACTTCTCTGTTCTGGAGGTTATTATCTCAAGTCTTACAATTAGCAAAAGCTCTGGACTAGATGGTCTTTCCAATAACATATTTAAGCATGTTTCTTTACTAATTTCCAAACCGTTGAGTCACATTTTTAATTGTTTTTTCAAAACTGGCATTTTCCAGATTAGCTTAAAATTGCAAAAGTCATCCAAATAATATAAAAAGTTCAATTCTCACAACTTCAGTAATTACCGACCTGTATCCTTACTTGCTTTAAAATTTTAGAACTTACAAAAGATTTACTAAAGATTATTTTTTTATTTAAATAAATATAATGTTTAATCTGACTTCCAATATGAATTTAGAAAATGTAATTTTACTAACTGCTTTTTAGATATGTATGATAAAATAACTCACGCTCATAAACAACAATATGTAGCCATTGGTGTCTTTCTTGATTTATGAAAAGCACTCAATACCACTAATCATGACATTTAAACAAACCTTTATTGGAATATATAGATTAATCTTGAATTGATTAAAGTATAAATATTGATAAAACTAACTGTATAATATAATTCTCAAAACAACTTGTAAACTTAAATATTCCCAAGACATTTACATTGACAATGTTGAAATTTGTAAAGTAAAAGAAACCACATAGTATTACTAGAATATCCACCATTGTGTCCAGAAACATAGGTATCATGAATAAACTTAAGTATACACTTCCAACAAATATCCTTATTTCATTACATAACACCTTGGTTTCCCGTATCTCTCTCTTAGGTTAACATTTCATGGGCTGTTACTTTAAATTAATTTGAACTTTTTAAAATGCAAACACATGCTCTTTGATTATGCGCAGGTGCTTCTTACATGTCACACTCCTAAGAACTTTTCCATAAGTGTAATGTCCTCAACATAAATTGATTTAAACAAATTACAAATTGCTTTATTTATGTACAAATTATTCATTAACTTTCTACCAACTCTTTTAAGCACTCTATTAAAAACATGACAGTATTCATACTTTTAATACTAGATCTTCAATAAATATTTTTTCTTCAGATCATTGCACCGACTAAGGGGTTCTTCTGTTTTTGACGTTGGTCCAAAACTTTGGAATAAGTTGTATTTTGTTGGTCCAAAACTTTGGAAAAAGCTGCATTTTGAACCAATTCACCGTTTTTAGCTTTGAATATAATTACAAGAAATCATTGATCTCTATGTATAGTGTATAATAAATAATCACCTTTATTGGTATAATCATCCATTTTTCATGTATTAATTTCGTTAATTCTGCCCAATCTCTTTATTTTCATTTTAGTATTATTTTTATTTAGTGTTTTTTTTTTATTACAGTTTTATATACAAAAGTTATATTATGTCAGTACTCCGATATATCATGTTGTATATACAGTTTCAACTGGGTTCATGACTTAAATTTAACTCCATTAAATTTAAACTTAATTTAACTTCATCAACACATGCATATTATATATGTTATAGTTACTATTTAAAATAGTTTGTACTGGTATCTATTATTATTAACATCGTATCGTATATTATTATTTTCCTTTATCCTATAAAAAGTATATTGAAATGGCAAAAGAAAATTCAACAATGTACATGTACCTTTATATTATAGAATTTTTCAGTTATTGAGTTGCTAAGAAAATCGGTTTTGATCTATACAAAATGAATTTTTTGTATGTGATGACTTTGATGCTTCTTGTAAGTTCTGCTTCCTCACAAGGTGAGTCATTGTATCATTTTAAATAATATTAATTATGGTTACATATTTTAGTATCCATTTGTAAACTCATTTATTTTCAATAATAGTACATAGATTTTCACTAATTTTGTAAATTATAAACCATGAAGCCGGTGTCACGAAAATTCAGGTTCCATTCCAAATTTCGGCTCTACACCTAACTTCTCATTTAAGCAAAAATTTTCGCTTCGTCGGTACATTAAGATCCACTCTCATTCTATCGGCTTTATTGTACAGTGCATACATATTACCTTTGTCTAAAAATAACGACCGATCGTTATTAATGAGGTGAACTTGTATTTGGAAGAAAAACCGTGAAAATAAGCAGAAAAAAATATGGTTTTTATTATTTTTAATATTCATAATGCTTCAAGTCCGTCCGCAAAAACTACGACGCTGACCTACTTCTCAACACTGTTGCAACTACAGCTTGAAGATTGTCCTTGCCACCGCCTGTTCGCAGGCAGGCTTTGCAATGTGACGTACTGTATGAGTGGCTTTTCCATTTTCTATGCCGAGAGAGAATGATTCCATATCTTTTGCCGACGTGCATATTGTCATCTAGCCAAACAAAACAGATATATGCATAGAGTGGGAAAGATGAAATGGAGAGGGAGTGGTATTATACTACAGTACTGTAATCTGATTGACTTTGATAATGAATATCGCCTGTAAACTATTCAAAATTGATTGGAAAATTAACTTGAGAATATTTCAACAATCGTTTGCTAATGCTCGAAAGGATAATCGTCCCTAATGTTGAGATTTTTCTAGAAATTTAGGCTAGGTTCACCATAACCTGTTATGTCTAATTTTGAATATTAAAGTATTTTATATATTGTCCTGCTTGTGCCTCTCAATTAGCTCACATTGACAGAATACACTAAAAATTGTGGTATTTTATGTTTATTTACTTTATTCAATTTCTAGGTAGACTTATTAATACAACAACACAATTACAATGAGAATACAATACTTTGAGGGTATATAAAACATATAAAAAATGAAATGCTAAAATGTTTGCAATTTAAATGACCTTCAAATTTACACCCTAACCTGGATCGTCCCCTACACATAATACTATCTTCCTTGTAACTTGGGTTAAACTTTCCCGAAAGTTTCATTCGGATCAGTTGACCCATTTTTTAAATATCTGGTCGGCACGTTTTCCTTTGTCCTCATATTCACACCCTACGCTGGATCATCACAATAATTCAGTCATTTCTTTCCTGGACATTTACAAACTATTATAGAAAGTTTCATTTACACCCATTGAAAACTTTTTATAGGTATTTACGTCTGGGGTCTCAAAAATTTAAATGACCCTCCAATTTACACCCTTTACTGATTCGTCACCAACACATAATACTATCTTCCTTGTAAACTCAGTTAAACTTTTTCCGAACGTTTCATTCCTACCATTTGATCAGTTTTTGAAATATGCGGTCTGGGACGGTTTTTTTTTCAATGGTCCTCAGATCTACACCCTACTCCTGATTGTCACAAAAATTTAATCATTTCTTTTCTCGACCTTGACAAACTGTTATGCAAGGTTTTAATTCATACCCATTTATACCCATTGATTTTTTTTAAAGAGATATTTAGGTCTGGGTCCTGAAAAATTGAAATGACTCAAATTTACACCCTTGACTGATTCGTTGCCAGCATATTTTCCTTTAGATGGTCCTCAGACCAACTTTCCCGTAAGTTTCATTCACATCAACTGACCGATTTTTAAAATATTCGGTGTAGACTGTTTGACCTTAAATCACTTTAATTGGTCATCACATGTACACCCCACCATAGATTGACACTAAATATTAGGAGTCCATATGAGTCAAATTTCAGGTTTTTTTTAATCCACATTAATATCTGTCAGTATAAAAAATTAAAAAAATCTATGATCCCATTTCATGGAATGACCCAACTCTTAAAAACTTTTGTTATTTCCGATTACGTTAAAATATGTGTAGTTTTCAACATAGTATCTAACCATGAAGAAGCTGAGTACCGAAGCTGAAATTTGGTGTATAAGTAGATCTAATATATCTGATTAACTGGTGTAAATTTAAGAAAAGATTTTAACTGTCCACATGACGAACTGTTAAGGGAAACATAGGCTTTTTCACTTTTATAGGGCTGGTCCCAACTTTGAATGGATGCCATTCCATTTTAATTCATTTGATCAGCCTGTGCTTGCTTGTGACTAGAGACGACTACCCATATATAATATATCTGTAATATAATATGTATACATTCACTCATATGGACACAGGGTGACCTCGAAAATCACAAAAACACTTGCATCATTAAACATCTCGCTTCTGAATGTTTTATATTACGTCAACGCACAGTTATTAAGATATCATTCCATGATTTTAAATATAAATACATAACAAATTCCTGTCCGATCAAGTACTAGTATCTGAAATTGAAGAAAAATGAATTTTCACTTTTTTCTTTGTAATTCATTATTTAAAGAGACAGTGTTAATAGCCTTTTTAATTGTTTTATTTATTGCAGTTGTCAATCAGTGTTCACCAAACCCATGTCTTAATGGAGGAATCTGTTTCTTAAGTTCATCAAATGTGGGAGAGTATGTTTGTCTTTGCACTAACGGCTTTTTCGGAACTAATTGCGAAGGTATACAATGAAGAATTTCCTCTGCTTTATGATATTCTCTCAAATAAATTTCTTTAAATTTATTCAGCATTTTTACTGTAAAATATACCAAAAGCAATATAGTGTTTACTAAACCGCTGTTTTGGTGATGGAACTATAGCGCTGTGAATTCAGTTTAAAATGGAACTAGAAAGATGATTTTTTTTTTCTAAATGGAATTTTTGATAGGCCATTATTAATAGAGTAACTTTAAAATAGCTTTTTGGCAATTTTTTTGTAGGCCATTATGTACGATTTTACCCCTTTAGAAGCGTGACGCTACTGGAGGCAGTGTTACCAAAGATCTTATAAATAGCAGCGCGTAGGGTGTTCACCGCGTACCATTTTCGCGTCCATGCTGTAAACATGGCTGTAAATTTTTTGTTGACACCCGCTGATATGCATATCAAGTCCTATCCATAATCAGTAAGTACATCTGGGCAATTGTATCCTACGTTTGTACCTGTTCGCAGATCTTAATTCTAATACTAATTTCAATTGTATTATTTTTGCGGAGTGTACAAAAAATAATTAAAGTTGCACGAAAAGTTGCACATAAAAACCTCTAGAGAAATAAAATGCGTAGAATTGTAAATACTTGTGTTGTATATCAAAGTCTACAATTTTGTGCAAAATTTTGAAATGCGGCAATGGATTTCTAGGCCTAATATTTTGCAGCCTGGCACATCCTCATTTCATGTATTGCAAAATAAATTAGATTGCTTACCTATCAACGAAGGACGAGCACTGTATAATAACTGAAATGAAAAATAATTAATTGATCGGCCCCTAAACCTGGCCCTCAATAATAATAATAAAAAATAATAATAATAATAATAATAATAATAATAATAATCATAATAATAATAGTAATAATAATAATAGCTTTCCTAAATCAAACCTAGACCTGGCCCAGACATTAATACCCTTTATTAATATATAAACGTGCTCAATGAAAAAATGAGTTTTACTTAAACACAATAAAATTCAATAATGTATTCAGAAACACTAAAGACCGTCATTTTTTTAAAAACAATAATAATAATAATAATAATAATAATAATGATTTTAATTCCAAACTAAGAATTTTAGAGGTTATATACTTTTATTGGTAGTAGCTATCAAGGTCAAACTTGGTATTCTAACTTATATTCCACCATATTACACAATTATGACATCAGATTATCTGCACTCAGAATAGCCACTTAGTTTAACTATGCAATTTTTTTGTGATTTTCGAGGTCACCCTGTGTCCATATGAGTCAAATTTCTGGTTTTTTTTAATCCACATGAATATCTGTCAGTATAAAAAATTAAAAAAATCTATGATCCCATTTCATAAATAAAATAAATTAGATTGCTTACCTATTAACGAAGGACGAGCACTGTATAATAACTGAAATGAAAAATAATTAATTGATCGGCCCCTAAACCTGGCCCTCAATGTTTATCTCCAGTTTTACAAGATTTGGATTGTATACCCACATTATCTCCATTATTTTAAAGTGAATGGGGTTTTAATTACTTTAACAATTAACTTCAAATATCTATTTAACTACCCTTTTTCTGTTGATTGCATTCCCACATGTGCATACAAAATAGGCTAGGCTTTCTTTGAAGTCGGCCTAATGGCTGCTGTTCATATTTGTACTCGAAAATATTTACTAGTCTTAATTCCAGACATCTCATGCCTTCCAACTCAATTAATCATGATGGCTGTGCGCTTAGCGTATTTTAATATATCTGGTATTTATAGACCAGACGAGTGCAAATTTATATTGTAAACCCTGTGACAGGCCCAGGGATAGTCTAATTAAAAGTTGACACTATTATCAATTGGATTTTTCTGTACATGCTGTAAATGTTGCCCTATCAGCCAATAGGATGCTTGGTTTAATTATTAGGTCATTAAGTACCTCGATAGTAATGGTTATAAGTCTATAGTAAGACCTTCCCTTGAGTATGGGGGAAGCGCTTGGTCTCCCTTATACAAAAAAGATAGTGATTTGTTAGAAAAAGTATAACAGAGATCTACTAGATTAATAAGTGAAGGAAGGGATATGTAGATAGATTAAAAGAGCTAAACTTACCTACAATATCTTATAGAAGAAAGAGAGCTTGTTCAAACATACAGTACCATTGATTCAAGTAATATTTTTGAATGCCCACCTCAGAGTAAAACTAGAGGACATGATTATAAACTTTATAAAAGTAGATCATCAAATACCATTGTTAGAAAGAATTCCTACACAGTTAAAGTAGTGAATGATTGGAACACGCTTCCAAATTATGTTGTGTCTGCAAAGACAGTAAATGCCTTTAAGTCGGGTCTGGAAAAAGGAACCTGGCTGGCCACCGACTGAAGTACAGCCTGTATATATCTGAGGAAGATACTCGGATGTATCAAGAGGGACAAACGAGCATAGGTCTCTCGTCTTGAAGTATCAAGATAAATCAAGGTAAATTAATGCATATGAAAAATCTCCTCTAGTAAAAAAAACAACTTCTAGTTCCCTTTAATTTATCAGACACCACTCTATAGAGAAAAAAATAGAACACTAAAAAGTTAAATGACAGGGGAGATGGAAGTTACAGAACAAGCAAGTCCACACCCTGAGCGCTTTCTGGTGTAAAACGCTATATAAATCAGAATATATTACATTATCGTCGAAAATGGTATATATTTCAGAATCAAACGCAAGCTGTGTCCTATAACTATAGGAGTGATTCACGGCCTCACTTCATCACCAACACCACAAAGAAACACAAACTTCAATTTCTACCAAATACGGTTTGAGAAGAGCGCGTTTGAAGTGGACTACTTCACAAAACCGTAAAATTTCACTATCTGGATTTCTTACTTTTTTAACTTTTTTTTTTTTGACATAAGATTAAAGATAAACATTGAACAATTAAAATGTTCAATTCATACTATTTCCACGTTATTACCCTGTAATTAGCATTAATTGTTTGTGTCTGTTTGCGTACACACAAAAGTAAACACAGTTTATCAGTAAAGCGGAAAAAGCCCAAAAAATATTTATAAAAATCCTACCATTTTAATGGGGAAAAATTTAACAACAAAATGACTCACAGATATTTATTTTGCATATATTTGTTCAGTAAGACCTGAATTTTGGGTGTTGTAAAACACCCACACTCAATGGGGGTGGCAGTGTATAATGTATTTACTAGTGTAAATTTGGGGAACAGTGTGACCGTAAACAGTGGGTTGGTCATGTAAGAGAATGTATGGGGAATGTAGCATGGTTGTACATTGTTATGGTGGTATAACAAGAGATTGCAGAGTAGCAAAATAAGTGCTAAAACATCTTTGCAAAGATGATATGTATATAAATATTTTACCTTTTTATTTTGTAATAAATTTCTCATTTTTGTCTTCTGCTATTGAAAGCTTTTGATGTGAGTAACAATGGAACCTGCCCAGACTGCTATACTGGTGACAACTGCGAAATCTGTAAGTTGCATTTTAACATTAGCTTAGCTGCCTCCTTCAAGATGTTATTTAGTATAAAGGAGCTTATATAGTGTGAAATTTAAAATTACGCAGAGTTCGGTTGAGAGGAAATTTCCTGCTTTTTGTGGTGCAGACCCTTATTCAAACCCGGCTAGCATCAGTTTTTAATTGGGGTCTGGTTGCTCAGCTACTCGAATAACCCTCACATTTAGAGAAGGGTTAAGGTGTTAGTGTTCGTGTGTATCCGTTACAAGTTGTAGTCGAGTTGCTCTGCAATGCAGTAAACACCATTTACAGGATGGAAATATAAAATATACAGTAAAATACTTACACAATATAAGTAAAAAGCCAAAATTATTACAGTAAAGATTATTTAAAGGACTCGAATGTAATAGACTTAAACTGTAAATTGTATATTATTTGGCATTATGACTATATAAATGCTGGATTTTGTCCATAGAAATAGTACATTGTATAAGGGGACTTTTAAATACTTTCCATTTTATATATTTTTAAAGAAGATTAACCATGTTGGCAAATTCCTGAAGCCATCACTGTTTCCTAGGGAACTGTCATGCAAGAGAGCCTGGTTGTGTATGGCCTAGTTCAGACTAGGTTTATCCACCTGCCAGTCTAAACTAGGTGTCTTATCTCAAGCTGGGCTGTGTTCCTATATAAACAAAGATACTAGAAATACAAGATAGAGTTATCGCATTGTAATAATGAGGCGGAAGTAGTGCCCAACGTAGGCGGCGCCCTTCTTTTTAACCTTGCAAGTTTCCTTCGTGCCCAACGTACAGGGCGCCCTTCTGTTGCTAAGTATATCCAGACGCAAAAGGCGCCCTTCCTTTTCCTCTAATGGAGGAAAACTTTTTCACTAAGAGTGCGTCCGGCCATGCGATTGGGCGCTGTATTGTTGTTTTATTCTTTACTGATTCATGATTATGCTTTAATTGTTTTGTGTTTTATTTGCATAATAGCAACTATTTCTACTGCCACCAAGGAGGTTATGTATTCACCAATGTCACTGTCTGGGTGTCTATTCCAGTTTGTTTTTATATCTAGTAAATAAAAAGTGATTGGTAAAAACTCATAATATCGGTACAGGATGTCGATAAAGAAGTGCAAAATACAGTCATCATTATGAATTCTTGTGCTTTATTGATCTATTATTGGTAGGCCTATTAGTTCAGGATTTCAATGCTTTTCCAACCCATTATTATTGACATTGAATACAGCTACGATACTCACAGTATATGTTTTTTAATCACAAATTAGAACTGCATATATGTAGTTTTAAAACAA